CTGAAGCTCAATTACATAGGCCTTATCGCACGCAAGTTGTTCGAAGATCATTCCAGGAAGGAGGTACCAGCCAAGCCAAGGCCAGTGGAACGCCAGCTAAGAATCAATCTGTTGTTTCTTCGTCATCCGCGGCTTCGATGGGCGAAGACAAGGGGCAGTCGCGACCCAAAACATTTGGGGTTAAGGATAACCCCTACGCTAAGCCATCCACAATTAAATGCTTCAGATGCCTACAACCGGGACATAAATCGAATGAGTGTCCTTCGCGCCATCAAGTCCAATTGGTTGAAGGCAATAAGGAGTCCGAGTTGTTAGATTCTGAAGCTGTTCAGGGAGAGGAAATTGAGGAGCTATTAGCAGACGAAGGGGAGCCTGTTGTTTGTGTTATGGAGAAGTTATTAATTGCTCCGAGGAAAGCCATTGACAGCCAATGACACAGCTTATTCAGATCAAAGTGTACTATCAATGGAAAGGAATGTGATGTGGTAATTGATAGCGGCTGCACGGAGAACTTAATTTCACGGGCGGCAGTCCAAGCCCTACAAATCAAGACCTCAAAGAATCCTAATCCCTAAGCTCGGGTGGGTAAAGAAGGGGGTTGAATTTCTTGTCTCGAAATCATGTAAAATAACATTTTTCATTGGTAAAAGTTACATGTGCCATGTTACATGTGACATATTAGAAATGGATGTATGTCATTTAATACTTGGGAGGCCTTGGCAATACGACAGTGGAGCTATTCACAATGGTCGTAATAATACTTACACTATTGATTGGAAAGGGAGGCGACTGAAGCTTATGCCCACAAGCCAGCTGTCTCAACCATCGAACACCCACAATTTAGTGGCTGCTAAATTGGTTTCGGGTACTACTCTCTTGAAGAGCCAAGAGGACTCCTTACCTGCTTGCAATTCTGGTTGGAGACAGAGACCAAGACGTGCAAAGTTCCCTCATTCCTTCGGTACAGGAATTGCTCAAGGAATTTGAAGACGTGACATCCACGGATGTGCCACCTTCCATGCCTCCGTTGAGGAATTTACAACACCAAATAGAATTGATTACAGGTGCGGTGTTACCGAATTTGCCACATTATAGGATGAGTTCTAAGGAGCACGCCATCTTGCGGCAGATCATACATGAATTGTTGCAAAAGCAATTCATACAGCCGAGCCTTAGCCCATGCGCGGTACCAGCATTAATCGTCCCCAAAAAGGATAGACAATGGAGGCTTTGCATCGACAGTCGGGCGATCAATCAGATCACAGTTAAATACCGGTTCCCTATTCCCCGAATCAATGATTTGCTTGACAAACTAGCAGGATCGTCCATTTTCTCCAAGCTGGACCTAAGGAGTGGCTATCATCAAATCCGCATCCGTCCGGGGGATGAATGGAAGACTGCATTCAAGACGGTGGACGGACTGTTCGAGTGGAAAGTCATGCCATTCGGATTATGCAACGCGCCATCCACATTTATGCGCCTCATGCACGACGTCCTCCGACCATATCTAGATAAGTTTTGCGTCATTTATTTCGATGATATTCTAGTCTTCAGTTCTTCTCTTGTAGATCACTTGGACCACTTAAAGTCCATCCTTGAGGCACTTCGCAACCATCAGTTACTCCTCAACTTAAACAAATGTGAATTTGCTGTCCGCAGCATTCATTTCCTGGGATTTGTTCTATCCCCGGAAGGCGTCCACACGGCGCCTCAGAAGATATTAGCAATTCGCAACTGGCCGACCCCAACATCTTTGACCGAAGTGCGAAGTTTTCACATGTTAGCAAATTACTACCACCGCTTTATCAAGAATTTCAGCAACATCACTGCCCCAATTACAAACTGTTTAAAATCAACCAAGTTTTTGTGGACTAGTGAACAACAGAAAAGCTTTGATCGGATCAAAGATGTCCTTAGTTCGGCACCTGTACTGGCCTTTCCGGACTTTGATAAACCCTTCCAAGTCTATACCGACGCCTCGGTGGTAGGCATTGGGGCAGTTCTTTCGCAAGAAGGGCGTCCGGTTGAATATTTCCGCGAGAAACTGAGCCAACCACGTCAAAAGTGGTCAGCTTATGAACAAGAGCTGTATGCGGTGGTGCGAGCTCTCAAACTGTGGGAGCATTATTTGTTGCATCGTGACTTTATCCTATGCAGCGATAATCAAGCCCTACAATACATTAACAACCAGAAGAACATCAACAGGATGCATGCTAGATGGATTATATTCTTCCAACGCTTTAGTTTCGCCATTAAACATAAGGCGGGAAAGATCAATAGGGTCGCGGGTGCGTTAAGCCGACGACAAACTTTACTAGTTCACTTGCAAACGGAAGTTACGGGGCTGCTATCACTTCAAGATCTGTATGAAAATGATAAGGATTTTTCAGCTATTTGGGCCGCTTGTCTAGCAGGGCAGCCGAAACAGGATTATACATTGCAGCAGGGATTCCTCTTCAAGGGCAACAGCCTTTGTATACCGGATTCTTCTTGGCGTCCCCAACTAATCAAGGAAATTCACTGTGGATGCTTGGCGGCTCACGTCGATAGAGACAAGACTATGGAGTTGATGTAAATGAAAATTTTCTGGCCACATATGCGCCGAGATGTTGCGCGTTTCGTTGAAAAGTTCTTTGTTTGTCAAAGATTCAAGGGAACCGCTCAAAATACTGGATTGTATACGCCCCTGCCAATTCCGCACTCAATTTGGGAGGATCTGTTCGATGCTGTTAACGTCGCACAACTCTTCTTCAAGGAAAATGTGAGGCTTCATGGAATTCCTCAGAGTCTCACGTTAGACAGAGATGTGAAGTTTGTAAGTCATTTTTGGAGAGACTTATGGAGAAAATTACATACTGACATCAAATTGAGTTCGGCTTATCACCCGCAGACCGACGGTCAGACGGAGGTTGTAAATCGAACACTGGGCAGCATGCTCAGATATCTCGTACAAGACAATCCGAAAAGATGGGAAGATCTTTTGAGTCACGCCGAATTTGCCTACAATTCGACTCCAAGCCGTTCTACAGGCTATTCACCATTTCAGGTGGTGTACACTAAGCAGCCCAATCAACTAGTGGACCTAGCTATCTTGCCAAAGACTCTCAGGTCCTCTACGTTAAAGTCTCTCTCGGAGGCTCAAGATACAATCAGATCTGTTAAGGAAATTTTGCAAAAGGCCAATGCCAGATACAAGCAGTCCGCTGATCAACACCGCAGGCACAAGGTGTTCAATGTTGGTGAATTAGTCATGCTCCGCATGTGCCGAGAACGCTACCCTCATGGAACCTACTCAAAACTAAGTCCTAGAAAGATTGGACCTTTTCCCATTGCTAGCAAGATTAATGATAATGCGTATGTGATCGATCTTCCGCCGGACATTCACACGTCCGCCACCTTCAACGTGGTTGATATGTATAGTTATCATGGTCGGATAGTTCTCAGCCTGTTGAAACATCGTCAAAGTCGAGTTTCTCGAAACCCGGGGAGAACTGACGTGGACGTCAGTCCCGCTTAACGGTGCTATCTCGTTCCTGCAGTCCACCTACTCTCGTGGCAGCCACTACTCTGGTAGCCCTGACTTTCGATTATGCATTTTAATCCTTGTTGCCATTTAATTTGGTATTTCTTTTATTTTATTAGCTAGTTTAGCTTTATTAACTCCCAAAGGGCTAGTGTAAGGAGTTAGCTTATCTTCCATTTCATCAAGTTACAGAAGGCTCGTTACAGCCGATTATTGTTCTATCGGAAAGCCTCCCTTCCAGGTGAACTCCTTCTTGCTTTGTATTTTCGCTGCATCATTTGGAGGGTATGGTAGTAATTTTTCTTCGAGGACTTTATTTACATAAGTAGTAATTCAAATAAAATTATTCAAATCTATCTCGAATAAAGTTTTAGAGAGAATTTTCGATGAATTATATCTTACTTCATTAATTCATTCCTAATCTCTTATGTAAAACCTTTGATGAAATACATAACAATAACAAAATAATCCCATGAAAATAAAAATAATAATATTTGTTAAACCTTAAGATGCAAGAGACAAGCATAAGCACACTATTTTACTAAAGGAATTATTGTATCCACTGGAAAAATTTGAAATTCTACCGAAAAATGAAGCTTTCGGCAGATTTCCGTCAGAATAATTATCATCGGTAAAATAAGCGTCGAAAATGTCATTGCGATGGATTTTTTTCAGCCAGAAATCTTAGCGACGGATCTCCGAGGAAAAATACGACAAACTTTGGTAGTTTATCAGCGAAAAATTCTGCAATTATCAGCAGGAATTACCAACAAAAAATTCATCGAAAATTGCTACTTTTTCTCTAGTGTTTCTAACTTGGATGCAAGGGACCACATATGAGAGAGTTTTTTACATCATAGATACTTGATGAATCATTTTGGATTTCCTCATATCATTTGATTCATTGGTTTGCAAAACTATCAAGAAGAACTCAAAATGGTACACTTCCTCTCATTTGAAGAAGACAAATCCACTAAGAATAACACACATCAATTTTGAATCAACCATTGTAGAATCTTTTCTAAGGCTTCGTTTGGAGCAGAATTCTTGCTGCTTTCTAAAGCAGCTTTCTAGTACAAAAAATTCTAGTTCAAAAAAAAAATGTACTAGTAAGATGTTTTAAAAAACAGTAAGAAAATTATCAAAAATGAATCCTAAGTTTATGGCCAAATGAATAGATTCTATGTGGCCATGAGAAGCACCTCCACTATGATTTTTGAAAACTAAGGCTTTATCTGAGATGGCTTTTTCACTGATTCTTAAAGCAATTTTTTAGTATAAAATTTTTAATTTTTAAACTAGAAAATTACTTTAAGAAGCAGCGAAAAAACAGCCCAAACGAAGCCTAAAGCAGAAGCTCATAATTCCATTATCTTCATTAAAAGAATCAATTCAATATATATTGTCAATAATACAAACGAAAAAAAAAATTAAAATAATCAGAAAAGAAAATAAAATCGGCAACAAGATTGTTCATTTATTCTTCTGGGTACCTAATGATTCTCTGCAACACCACAGTCCTCGCCCTCCTTATATCCCTGCTACATCGATCAGCTTGCTCTCCCAGATCCTCAACGCCCTTCATGAACGCCCCAAGCTTCTTCTTGATCCCCTCAACCCCAAACCTCACAGCCTCCTCATCCTTCAAAGCAAAATCCACACAGTGAAGCAAATAACTGATCTGAATCTCCAAATGATCAACCAATACCCTAATACTTTTCAAATCTTCAACGGTCACATAGGTCCCAACCTGCATGGAGCTCAGGACCTCCTTCTCCCCCTTCAATGCAACTTCATAGTCCTTTAACAGAGCGTCAAACCACTTTCCCATTGATCCCAATGGTATCGACGAGGCCGCGGCCAAAGCTGCGGCCACCGGAGGCGCGGCCACGGCAGCAGCCACAATTGAACAGATGAGAACAGAAGCGAAAGCAGCAACGAAAATTACGCAGGAGACCTTCCTCCAAGCTTTGACAGACTTGAGCTTTTTGTCGAGTTTTTGTTTCCTGGTCATCAGCTTTTCAAGCATTGATCGCTGTTGATGATAAACTGCCTGAAATTCTGTGAAGAATTCTTCAGTGAAGGGGTCGCCGGCAGCCTTGAACAGCTTCAGGTCTTCCAATATCTTCTCATAGTTCAGTTCTTCTTCCAAACGGTGTATTGCAACGTTGATGATGAGCTGGGAGTCGCGGGCGCGCATGAGGCAGCGTTCGAGGGCGGTGCAGAAATCTAGAGTTCGAAGACTGTTGTCGAAGTATTCTTCGACGAGCTCGAACAGCTCTGGTGTTTTCCAGATATCCTTTTTGCATTCCAGGATGATCTTGACGACCTCCTGGTTCATCTCCAGGAAGCAGGCCGTGATCTTTTTCAGGGAGTCAAAGGAGATGGAGCGCAGTTCCTCGCCTGCGGCGAGACTGGAAAGGGCGCGGCTCATTCGCTGCGGTAGGGTCGTGTCGGAGATGTGTAGCTGTGAATCAAACCGGAATGCCGCTTCGCAAGATACCATTTCAGAAACCCGAGGGGCTGAAGACTCGGGTCTCTTGCTGAGCTGACCGCCCATTAAAATAAGCTCGACCAAAGTCCCTGCTTTGTTGAAAAGCTCTCAACTTTTCGCTTGAGATGATGTATAAAACTAGGGAATGGAAGAAAAATCGAAGCTTTGAAGATAAAGGAAGACGGGATTATAAAGATGGGCAAGTTAGAAGAAGAGGAGGAGGAGAAGTGGAAGGTAAGTGGTAACAGTTCGATGGCTTGCACGCAAGAGAAAAGGAGGGGAAGAAGAAGAAGAGAGAAGGGCGGCGACGCCCCTCTCTCTCTTAGTTTCGGCCAGGGGAGCAAGAAAGAGGGAGCAACGCGGCAACATTAAGGCGTGGGCGAAGCTTTTGGAGCACGAAAGCGAAAGAAGTGCGGGTAATGAGGAAGTTAATCAGTTAATGATAAGTCAAGTCATTTGACTAATCTTGCGAGTACTGTAGAAAGTGCGCGTAGGGCGAAATTTAACTAACGTTGTCTAATGATAATTTCACGTGGTTAGTGCCGTGATTATAGATTAATTTTTTGTTTGAAATAACTTTCTTACGAGAAATTATTTTGTGGGGACGTTAAATATAATTCATCGTTCGGAGGTTAATTAGAGTGCGTCATGTCAGTAGTACCGAGTGCTGTACCGCACTCGATATCGAGCTATGGTACCTAACTGGGGTGACGTGGCATATTCTGATTAGCCTCTGGACGACATTTGACGTCCGCACAGAATAATTTCTTCTTACATTAAGAGCATGGGCGGAGGGATGGGGCAAGGGGGGCAATTTCATGTTTTCAATCCACATTCTACCCCGGACCATGCAATGCTTCAACTCTAGAGAGAGAAAGACTAATGTGGTAAAATATTGAGAGAGAGAGAGGAATGACTTTCCATTGTGGATGGAATGATGAAAAGATATTTTGAGGTAGAGTTGTAGGGCTATTTAATTAATTTTTATTTAAAATATTTAACTATTTAAATATGTTTTTATTAAAATTTTTATCATTAACTAACTATTCATATCTAACAATAATTATTAAATATTAAATTATCACCGAATTATTTAATTATTTTTTACACTGCTAATGATCTAATTAATAATGTGAATGATACGTTTTGTTTTTCCTCACTCCTTTTGCACAACAAAAATGTTGTAACTGTGCCCTCATGACTTAGTACGCACTCATGACTTAGTACGCACTCATGACTTAGTACGAGAGAGCTCCTCTAAAGTATTTGGCTAAAGCTAAAACTGAAAGCCTAATGGGGCTTAAAGCTGATTGTTTTAGTGGCTTAATAGAGCAACAAGTTCGTCAACGAGAAAACCTCTTCTAATTTTTATAATTCTTCCTTTTAAAGTTATTTATTAATCCAGAGAAGCCACCAGAATTTTTTCTTGGACACATGAAAAGCATCAATGGTTCGTTTTCCCCTTTACTCCTCTCTCACGACTCACGAGTCACGACCTCGAATGACTTTATTTGCATTCTTAATTTTGATCTTACAGCTCCTCTTGGCTCCTGTAATGAGACGGCAAACAGAACTATTTTAATATATTTTAACCTTCCAAATAAAGTAATAAACATAACTATTTTAAATGAGTACCCAAAAAATAAAAATTTTCTAGCTCCGCAAGTGGTTAATTGTTTAAATCTAATAAAAAAAATGTCATTTCTAATATTTTTCTAACCAATTTTTTTAGGTATGCCTCTACCTTTTTTATCATAAGTCAAATCTAATACATCTATTTTTCTAACGACTCCCTATAATCTTATCTTCTACTAGAGCTACTCTTATAATGTCATGATAAAATTGCTAGCAACGTAACAAATCATCACTTTCATCATGCTCAAACTAAACGTATAGAGGTAGATAGATATAAAATATCCCATTAAAGAAAACTTTTTTTTTTTGGGACATTTAGGCCATTTAAGGCAAACACACACTCAAAATATCCCATTAAAGAAAACTTTCAAACGGAAGATTTATACTTCATATATTCCACCCTTTGATTTTGACATCCTGACCAAAGGATTTGAAGAATTGAGGGACAATACCTAGACTCAGACATATAACATATATATTTTAGGCCATTTAAGGCAAACACACACTCAACGCATACACATAGACTCGAACCCTGAACCTCTTAGTTGGAAGCCTAAGCTCTCAACCAATAGGCCAAGGAGAGTTGTGTAAAGAAAAAAAAAAAAAAACTAAGACATATAACATATATATAGGACTCGAATTGAAGATCTCTTAGTTGATAATCAAAGCACCGAGATGAGCCAGGTAAAAGACCGATAAGATTTATTTAAGAAAATGATGAACAAATATGGCTACTTCCTAATGCGAAAATGGAAAGGATGAAAGTTCCTTAGCTGCTCCCATATTTGAAGTTTTCTCTAGATAGCTTGGTAGTTTCCGACGCACGGCACTTTTGCCTATGGCAAGAGAAATTATTTTGGGCAGAGGACGGAAAAAATCGTCCGGACATGTAAATATACAAATTATTTATACATATTTGTACACATTGTATATCAAATCATTGTACACACTATAGCACACATATTTATACACGCCAAATTCTACCCCAAAATGTTGCAGAGAAATTTCTGGGCTTATAAACAAAATCAATCTAGACAGGCCATTTGCAACAGAAATTTAAGAAATTACATCGAAACTGTTCAAAGGCATTGCAGATATAGAGTCATTTAACATAGAAAATAAAAACTGAAGGTCACATATTGCAATAAAGAACTAATAATGATGAAGCGCTTAAGGCAGAACTGCCCAAACTGCTTATAGAGCATAATGAGAAAATGTATTTTCCACATTATAATGTTCCAGATGCCAGAAATGAACCACACTAAGACTTGGGCTTCATTTGGGACGGCTTTCTTATTGCTTCTTAAAGCAATTTTTTAGTAGAAAAATTTTTTTTTTTGTACTAAAAAACTGCTTTAAGAAACAGTAAGAAAGCCGTCCCAAACGAAGTCTTAGTTTGGGACAACTTTCTTACTGCTTCTTAAAACAGCTTTATAGTACAAAAATTTTATTTTTTGTACTAAAAAGCTACTTTAAGAAGCAGTAAGAAAGTCATCCCAAAAAAAGACTAAAGCTTCATTTCGGATAGCTTTCTTGTTGCTTCTTACAGCTTTTTAGTACAAAAATTTTATTTTTTTATTTTTATACTAAAAAACTGCTTTAAGAAGAAGTAAAAAAACTGTCCCAAATGAAACCTAAAAACTTATGATAAATTTGTGCGCCTTCCTCACGCATTAGATCTATTCCAAGTTCCAAAATTCCAAGATCTAACTGCTGAATCAATACAAAGGTAGTCACAAACATACAAAGAGTCCAGTATAACAACATGCAAAACCACTTGACAGTTTCTTCCAATAGACTTAAACCGATATACTGGTTTTAGGTTTTGTTTGGGACAACTTTCTTGCTGCTTCTTAAATCAACTTTTTAGCACAAAAAATTCAATTTTTGTATAAAAAAATTACTTTAACAAGCAGTAAGAAAGCCATCTCAAATGAAACCTAAAACTTGGATAAAAGGCTCTTGAATAATTGAGAGAAGAAGTATTATCTTAAAGGCAAACTATGAATGCATGCATGATACTTGAGAGCTCAGAAGAGAGTAATGGTGTCAGTAAGCCTGCACTTGCATTTCTTATCAGTTACATCATATAACATTTCTTAGTTACTATGTTGGACTATTACTCAGACCTCGACCACATACTTATCTGCACAATCAGCCTGTCCATTCTCACTTCAAGACCTTCTCAAATCTCAATTTCTTTTCACCATCATCATCACATCTCATAATCATCACAAGCTTTACCCTAAATATTTGAGATAGGATTTATTTATTCTCATTAACTTCTAATGAGTGTTGCATGTAATCATGGGTTTAATTATTCAAATCTTTCTTTACTATTCTTATTATGCCTTTCATATTAAATCTATCCACTTGCCTTATGAGCACATTGTTTTCTCTCATTTTTGCATGCCCAAATCATCTAAAGCTTGTGATGTAACCTAAAGTTGTTGAGCCTTTTAGGAGATCACTAGGTATGCAAATAATCACTTCTTTTCAATATAACTTAAACAAATACCGATATAAGAGAACAACACAGCGCTTCAAACTCATATTAAACAAGATATAAAAAACACGTTATAACTTACAATAAAATAGGACACAATACTACTTACAACTTCCAATAAAACAGGACACAACAACACCTTACAACTTTCAATATAACATGACACAAAAAAACCTTACAACTTATAAAAGTTTTGAGAAGAATGATATAGTTGGAATGAAAACCATGGAGAGAAAAATAAGATAGAAGTCCAAGTTAAAGTAGTAGAGGAAATGTAGAAGAGGATAGCTCGCAAGTTTCACAATCTAAAAATTCATCACAAATCTCTCTTTCACAAAAGAAATCAGCCACTTTATATTAAAGAGGAAGGGAAAAAAGGCAATAAATGCTCTCCTAAATTAGCCACCCAAGCATATTTTTGTTCTTTGAAAACATGATCCATTATTTTTGATAAATCAACCCTTGCATTTTAAGGCCAAAATATAGGTCATCATAGCAATACAAACAATCGCTAGTGATAAAGCTCATTTTCTTACAATTAGATAGAAGCATTTTTCATTTGATGATAGCTCGAAAAGAGTTCAAGAAAGCGCATAACTAGAAACTTAGCTGCAAAGTTAACTAATGCATCAATTCTGGTAAGTAGAGACTTAGGCTTGGTTTGGGACGGCTATCTTATCGCTTCTTAAAGTAACTTTCTAGTAAAAAATTGAAAATTTTGAACTAAAAAACTACTTTAAAAAGCAGGAAAAAAAAACCATCCCAAACGAAACCTTATTTTTAGGGCAGTTTAACTTCACATTTGTAAAATCTATGCATATCCTCCATTTTTTATTAGATTTTCACACCATGATAGCATTGAAAAACCATTACTGATATTATACCTCTCTAATGAATCTTTCCTCCAGTAACTTCTGTACTTCACCATTAATAGGCTTACCAAGAGTTGCAGGCATGCAGCCAATTGCAAAATCTTCTTTCGCATATTGAGTTTGTGACATGCAACATTTATATCTACTCGTGATATTTCAGCAGCTAATTAGTTGAAAGCTTCAACATTTTTCTCACAGGGTGGTAATTTGAAGGATCACAAGCATGAGCACCTGCTATCGTTGGTGCCAGTCGGTGAAAGTAATATTTGGCTTCATTTGGGACGGTTTTCTTACAACTTCTTAAAGCAGCTTTCTAGTTCAAAATTCAAAATTTTTAATTTTTGAACTAAAAAGTCGCTTCAATAAGCAGTAAGATAGCCATCCCAAACGAAGTCTTTATCTTGAATGATTTTAACTACTTCGGCCATCAACACTCTCAAAGAAGTGAAAGTTGGATATTTGGAAAGGTATAAGCAACCTCTTGTTTTTTCTTATATCAAAGTTTTTCAAGTTTTGCTCACGTATCTTGGTGCAATAATCTCGTAGTCGTCAATGGTGATATTACTATAGATGTTTGTAACACGGCTTCTCAATCAACTTCAGATTTTTGGGCCAACCTCGATGGTCTTTATGGAATCACCAAAAATTTCCTATCAAAACAAAGTCATGTGTCTAACTAGAGATCAAAATGTCTGACTCAATGTTAAAATGAATATTGGTGAGTTCAAAAATCTCAATCAAAATCTTTGACTTCCACAAACCAAGTGCATATTTAAAGGATCCTCCCAAAACTTGAGTGATTGTGGCGATCGACTCGAAATATTTTGGATCCAACTTTCGCCTTTGGGCGACAGTAATGCCTAGTAACAAGAATAGTTGGAGAACAAGAAAAAAGAGGATAGAGAAAAACCTAAAATAAAAAGATCTAGAATTTCACTAGATTTCAGTACAAGAAATTATGTTAATTATTTGGAGTGTTTGGCTAACCCTCTGACCCCCTATAGTGCCATAAAAAGACAAAATTTAAGCAATACAACTAAACTTACACAGCAAAACTTAATAAACATTTGCTATAACATGAATAAACTTAGCTTAGCTTTTAGATAGTTGATTACATAGAACCCAAATATTGATTTCCAATGGGCAGTTTTAAGTGAATTCTCCTACCAATTTCACTTGCATTTGCCAAGAATTTGTGATTAAATTCAATGCCTGGGAATAGTTTTGGCCTTTGCGTCCAATATCCCGATTAAATGGACCTAGGCTTCGTTTGGACAGCTTTTTTATTGCTTCTTAAAGCAGCTTTCTAGTATAAAAATTTTATTTGTTGTACTAGAAAACTGCTTTAAGAAGCAGTAAGAAAGCCGTCCCAAATGAAGTCTTAGAAAATTCAAGCTTGATCGTCTTGACAAGTTGACTGAGCTTGACCCTGATTCATGTAGAATAATGAGTTCCATGATATGTTCAAAGAGAAATGGTTGTATGCCACTTTCAGATATGGTTTAGAAATTAGGAAGAAGATCAATTCATAAGTATTTATCATTCTATGTCAAGTAATTCAGTTTAAAAGTGCAATAACGCAAGATCAAGATCAACCAAGTCCATCTCTTAAAAATGGATAACAGAAGAATAGGAAAATTTGTAGATCTATATATACTTCTATACACTCATCTAAAACACTTGTTAACTCAGTAAACCTTGATTAAAACATTAAACACTCAGCTAGGATTATCAGTAACACTAAGCTTCATATAGATGAAAAATGAAAGGAAAAAAAAATGAAACCCTATGTGTTTTACTGCACTGAATGTGCATAACAAGAAAAAGATGTAAAGAATGTGTTAGGACACAAAAAAAAAATCATTGTACCCTATTGCTGAGTGGTTATTGAGATCCCCAAGCTCACTCTATGAAATATTCAATTCCATCTAACTTGTCAAAGTTGTTATTCGATACATCAAAGTAGTAGCAGCAGAAAATGGCATATATATGCAAGGACTTGTAAACAATGCAGCATAACGCATGATAAAAGTTGCAGAGATAATGTTAATGTCATGTGCTGAAGGTAAGAAACAAGACACAGGATGAAGCTTTAGCATGCCTTAGGAAAGAATATATCATAAAGAAGTGTGCCACTGGATTTCATGAACTAGTCTAGACAAGTGCTAAAACAGTTTTTTACTTTGCATCGCTTTCCATACTACAGCTTCGTTCAGGACGGTTTTCTTACTGCTTCATAAAGCAGCTTTTTAGTACAAAAATATATTAAAAAGCTGTTTTAAGAAGCAGAAAAAAAAATCGTCCCAAACAGAGCCTAAGTAGGCTAACTAAAGAGGTAAACTTGGACGCTACTCATCTAATGACCACAAATCAAAGTAAATTCTATGGTTAAAATACCACAACTCAGCGACCTTTTGAAAGAGCATCATCCATCTCCTTTGTTGTTGAAGGAAACAGCTCAATATAACGTCTTCCTAGTGTCATCCTATCCCTCACCATTGCAGACCGGGAGGCAACTGGATTTGCAAATTCTACATAAGCTTCCCCACTTGGCCTACCATCCGCATTGAGCACAACATAAATACGATCTTCTGATAGTTCATAGTCCTTAAAGAAGTCTAAGATGTCCTCCTTCCCAGCAGAATATGGCAAACCTCTCATCCTCAAGATTCCAGTGTGCTCAATTAGATCCTTTCCATCATCTTTCGACTTTGCCTTACGAGCACCACGACGCGGAGAACCAGACCTCAAATCTGAAATTTCATTTGCAATAGCACTATAGTATTCTTGCCTAGTGCTTCTGAAAACCTCAATGTACCTTCTACCCATGATTCGCCTATCCCTCTGAATGGCAAAATCTACCTGAAGGGGATATGCCAGGACACAAAAGGCTTCACCAGTGAAACGGCCACCTTTGTGAATAAAAAGAATGTCCAAAAGATTCAGGCCATGAAGAAAATCAATAACATCAGCCTCTGTACAGTCAAAAGGAAGGCCGCGCAATCGAACAACCGGAAATGGTGGAGGTTCACCGCCATATGCATAAGAAGAAGTGTACATTAGACCTGAACCAGAGGGACCCCCAAAATAAGATGAACTTGAGTCAAAAGATTGTGGCCGCTTCATCCCCATCTCACGCCCATCACCACCATCCATATATTTCCTTTTGGCATAAGAACATATAACAACAAAAAATTGTTAATTTAAAAAAAAAGTTGCAAATACACTTATTAAAACATAAAAATAGGAAACTACCTTACAATAGCTTCATAATAATGAGTACAAATATATTAAGCCAGAAACGCCCAAAACAACTAATAGAAATCATCTATGGGAGTAGGACATGTCTGGGATCACTTTTATTTATTTTTTTTATGTTTTTATTTTTAATAGACATGCTTTATTAGGGATTTTATCAACTGTTTTTATTTTTATTTTTTCAAAAATAAATCACCACTCAAAACAACTTTGTTAAAAACAATTTCCGAGCACCACTACCGTAGTTTGTTGCTACTACTAGTGAACATCATTGTTGCCATCCTCACCGGCCGCCGACATTGACCCCCGCCAGCAACCATCGCCGCCATCGTTTAAATCAACATATTAAATATTCAATAAAAATCACTACAGGAAAATCACTTCTTATCGGCGGAATTTTCCGGCGGCTTTCCGGCGGTCATCTTTCCGGCGGATTTCCGGCGGCTTTTTGATGGCTTATTTCCTACAAAATTTTCCGACGGCTTTCCGACGGATTACCGGCGGCTATCCGACGGCTAATTTCCCACAAAATTTTCCGATGCATTGGTCAGGCTTCGGGGCTGCGGGTGAAGAGGTCTACGGCTCGAATCTCAGCGAAGACAGACGCTGGAGCGGCGGGCGCGTTGGCGCACTCGGTTTCGGGCTAGCTCGCGGACCGGCGCCACTCGGTTTCGGTCTGGTCCGGCGCTTTGGCGCACTCGGGCTCGGTCTGGTCCGGCGCGACCCGAAAGATATGTTTGCAGGAGCTATTACTTGTGTTCAGACACAAGGTGGTTTGACCAAGTATTTTCCTATTTCAGTTGGATTACATCAAGGATCAGCCTTAAGCCCATATCTTTTTGCTTTAGTAATGGATGTTCTCACTAGACATTTGCAAGAGGTTATACCCTAGTGTATGTTTATTGCTAATGATATTCTTCTTGTTGATAAGACAAGAGAGAGACTTGAAGGTAAACTTGAATTATGGAGGTCAACTTTAGAGTCTAAAGGCTTTCATTTGAGTAGATATAAAAGTATAAAACTAAATATATAGAGTGTAATTTTAGTAATAATAGTTCTAATGGGGGGATTGTGACTTTGGGTGATCAAGTCATTAATAAGAGTACACATTATAGATATCTTGAGTCTATTGTTCAGAGTGATGGTGAAATAGATGGGGATAATATTAATAGAATTCAAGTTGGATGGTTAAAAAGGAGGAATGCATCGGGCTTGCTGTGTCATAGAAAAGTCCCCCTCAAACTTAAGGAAAAATTCTCTAAGATTGTGGTTAGACCTGCAATGCTTTATGTTACAGAATGTTGGTTATTAAAAGAGAAGCAAAATATTAAGTTAAGTGTAGTAGAAATGAGGATGCTTAGGTGGATGAGTGACTCTATTCTTCGAGACAAGATACGAAATGAGCATATACGTGAAAAGGTTGGAGTAGCTCCAGTGAAAGATAAGATTAGATAGAGTCGCCTTAGATGGTTTGGTCATATAAAACGGCGGCCTTCCAATGACCCGATTATGAAAGTAGATGTATTAAATTTGACTTATGTTAAAAAAGGTAGATGTATATCTAAAAAGACTTGATTAAAAAATATTAAAAAATACTCTTTTTATTAGATTTAAATGAGAATTTAACTTTTAATAGGGCACAATAGAGGAAAAAATTCATGTAATTGACCGCACATAGTGGGATAAAGGATTGATGTTGTTGTTGTTGTTTAAAATAAATATTTGATTGTATTGTTATAAGGATATTAAAGTTGAAACAAATTTTTTTTTTTTTTAATTATTATAAAAAGTCAGCTACAAAATATAATTGGGCATTAGTGTATGAATGATATTTTACTCATTACATTGAAAAAAAAAAATATTTGATTGTATTGATATTAAAATAATTATTAAACTTTCTAGAAAATAACAAGCGTTATAAGTTATAATTTTTTTCATCTTATATTTTACCTTTTTAAAATAATAATCATAAACAAAAAAAAAATTTAAACTACCAATATTGGCCTCAAATTTGGATAAAAATTTTGAGCAAATATTTGAAAGAATAATTTGTGCCCCCACTAAAGAAAATTATGGGCTCCACCATTGCTTACAGGTAAATTTATGGAATTAATAGATATTATGATTTATAAGAAGGTAAATATTTTATGTATTCAACAAATTAGACGGGTTGGAGAAAAAGCTAAGAAGATTGATAATTTACGATTTAAACTATAGTACCAGTGCTTTAAAAATCGGACCGGACCGGCCGGTCTGACCGGTTCAACCGTGAACCAGTTTGAGGGCCGTTCCGGTCCAATCAAAAAATCGGCTTTGCTTTAAACCGGCTGGTTTTGGGAAGAACCGCCGGTGCAACCGGTGAACCGACGAACCGGTCCCGGTTTTTTAAAATCCAGCCGGTTCAAGTTTTTATAATAATATTAGTTAAATAAATTATTTAATATTAAATAAATATTAAACTTAATTATAATTAATATAAGTATTAATATAAAACTTTTAAATTAAATTAAACATAATTTTATTATAATTTATTCAATCTCATGTCTTCAATATTCCTTAAGAGCTCTTGGCATGAGTGAAAGCAAGAAGGTATATACACTAGACAAAGCAAAACTTCTAAGTGATGTGGAACTTTTATTTTTAAAGTATATTCATATATATGGTTCAAAGCTAAAATTTTGAAATGATATAAAAGAATTAATATAAAGGATAGCTCTTGAATAAAAAAAATTTATTAAAGAAAAATTAAATGATCTTGTTGGTAAAGTGATAGAAGATTTTAAAAGCATTTATGGTGACTATGAGTTTGGAAAAACTAATGAAAATAGTAAAACCATGTTAAATTTTACTCTAACTTATGATTTTGTAATTGTTAATATATTATTTAAGAAAAGAAACGAGCATCTTATCACTTATAAAAATGAATAAATTAAAACTTAAATCGACAAATTTCTTATAAAAAATATTAGATCATTTAGATTGAAAATATTATAAAGTTATTTCAAATAAAAGTTCATATACACAGCATCACTTATTAAATTTGAACTTTAAGATAAGAGGTAGAATATAAAAAAAATAAATTAAAATATTATCCTGGGATTAGAAGAGAAATTTAAAGAATGCTAATAAAAAATATTTTTGAAAATAAAATTTAAGATCACAAGATTTTGATTGTTCATGAGGAAACTAATGTTATGCAAGAAAAAAATAGCTAGAAATATTAAGAATATTACAAAATATATAGCTAGAGATATTGTTATGCTTAAAGTGCCAAAAGGGAAAACTATTAATACTAAAATAGTTCATGGTGGAATCAAAATATATAAGAAAATATCAAAAATAAAAAGCTTTGTTATAAAAATTAAATCAAATATAAAAGCTCGAAAAAGTTGGGAAATATATAGAAGAGCTCGTAGGGAGTCTAAAAAAGTAATATGTGAAGCACTAAATTTAACTTTTAGTATTTTTTTTTGGGACATTTAGGCCATTTAAGGCAAACTCACACACACGACGCATACACATAGACTCGAACCTTAGACCTCTTAGTTGGAAGCCTTAGCTCTTAACCAATAGGCCAAGGAGAGTTGTGTGTACTTTTAGTAATTTATATAACATATTAGATACTAAATGGGGTGAAAGATGTATGTATAAGTTAGTCAAGCACAGAATTAGGAGACATAAAAATCTACTTCATATGAAGTGAATTATGATGAAGATCAAAAAGTGATTTTCTTAGAAGAGAATATTCAGCATAGGTAAATGAGATATTTTGATAAGCTTTTCAATCAAGATTGTGAGAATATAATTGAGTTTAGTGATCTTAGCACCCTAAATGAAAATAAAAATTTTTTATTTTTATCATCGTATCAGTAAAATTTAAGTTAGAGATGTTTTAAAAAAATGAAGAGTGAAAAAGCAGTTGGATCTAATAATATTCTAATAGATGTGTGGAAATTCCAAAGAGATGACAAAATCATTGGCTTACTAAACTTTTTAATATTAATTGGAAAACTAAAAGATGTTAAATGAGTGGAGAAGTCCGTTGGTTCATATTTTTAATAGTAAATGTGATGCACAAGAGTATGCAAATTATAGAGAAATTAAGTTAACATGTCATACTTTAAAACAATGAGAGAGAATATTTAAGCATAGGTTACGACGCAATACTAATGTTCCTCAAAATAAGTTTGGATTCATGGTGGGTAGGTCTACTATAGAAGTTATATATGAAGTGAGAGGTTTGATGGACAAGTAAAGAGAGAGTAAGGAGGATCTACATATGATATTTATTAATTTAAAAAAGCATATGATAAAGCTCCAAGAGAAGTGCTCCGAAGAGTTCTAGAACAAGAGTTAATAATGCTTATATTAAAGTCATTAAGGATATGTATACAGGAGTTATTACTTATGTTCAAATACAAGGTGATTTGACAAAGTAATTTCCGATTTTAGTTGGATTACATTGGGGATCAACTTTAAGCCCATATCTTTTTGCTTAGCCATGGATGTTCTTACTAAACATTTGCAAGAGGATGTATCATGGTGTATGCTTTTTGTTGATGTATTCTTCTTGTTGATAAGACTACAAAGGAAGTTGATGAAAACCTTGAATTATAGAGATCAAACTTAGAGTCCAACAATTTTCATCTGAGTGGATCTAAAATTGAATACATGGAGTGTCATTTTAGTAGTAATAGATCTAGTTAGTGGATTGTACTTTGGGCGATCAAGTCATTAAAAAGAGTAATTTTTTTAGATTTCTCAGGACTATTGTTCAAAGCGATGGTGAAATTGATGGGGATTTTTCTGTTAGAATTCAAATTGGATGGTCAAAATGGAGGAATGCGTCGAGACCATAGTGTGATAGAAAAGTACCCCTCAAATTTAGGGTAAAATTGTATAAGATGGTGATGAGGCTTGTAATGCTTTATAGCGCAAAACGTTGGAAATTAAAAGACAAGCATAAAGTTAAGTGTTGCAGAGATGATAATGCTAGGGTGGATGAGTGGTTTTACACTTAGAGACAGAATATGAAACACGTATATACGTGAAATGGTTGGAGTAGCTTAAGTGATAGATAAAATTAGAGAGAGTCATCTTAGATGGTTTGATCACATAAAATGTCAGACTTCTATTGGCTTGGTTAAGAGAGTAAATGTATTAGATCTATAGCCTATATTAAGAAAGGTAGAAGTATACCTAAAGAGACTAGGTTAGAAAGAATTAGAAATGACTTTTGTTCAATAAGATTTAAAAGGGAATTTCACTCTTAATAGAACAAAATAGAAAAAAGGGATTCATGTAGAAAACCCCACGTAGTGGAATAAATGCTTAATGTTGTGCTATTGTTGTCTAATCTCATCAAAGAATATGCATGAAAAATATATGTTTTACTTTACTAATATTAGTGGAACTTTATGATTAAGATACTTGAGCATTATATGAGTAAACATAAAGATTTTGGTGTTAGACATGTGAATACATAAGAATTTTATGGTATGTGTGAATAATTACTAAAAAAAATGTACCATGGTTGACAAAGGTGCACGAAGAATAAAAAAAATGATTATCTGTGAGTAAAACACAAATGCAAAACCTTGGTATTATTTGATATGACCAACACAGGACTCCTGGCCAGTGTTTCTCAATCCCAAAGTGCTCATTCAGCTAGCAATTGTGCAATCCAAGTAGGAAGCAATACAAAAATATACAAATGTGTGTTCAGAATAGGATATTCACATCAAATAAATCCTGTAAATAAATTCAAAACCCTACATTATCAAAATATCTCCGTATGGAAAATTATTATGTATGGTTTTGATTCCATAAGAATAGAAAACGAAACCCTGTAGTTCCGCCCTCTTGGAAAAGAAAGTAAAAAAGTTAAGCAGACATTGACGTTCAGCTCAAAAGGCCAGCACCCTATAATGATGGTAAAAGATATATAACTAATCTAAGCGTTTAACAGAAGCAATAAGATCATTTTTCAATGAAAAAGAATAAGAACCAGTAATTTAGTAAATCAAATCATGAACGGAAATAACAATACCATTTCTACAATCAATTCTTGAGAATGACAATACCAGTTCGGACCAAAGAAGTAAGACAAAGGAAGGAGGATACGATAAGGTAGAAAAGGCTCACAAGCTAGAAATGGACGAAGAAAGAAGTTTTAAATTAAAGAATATCTGGTTAAAGTGCGACAAAGAAGATCTTGTTAGCTACGCAATCACAGAGCATACCGGAGATCATCAACTTCTAAATTACATTACACATCGCTGAAACAGTGGAACGAAGAATTTGCATCAAGATAATAAAAACTTCAAATAGAACGTCAACATCTCCGAATAAAAAAGGAAAACCCTAGAAATTCAGAGTGGAAACAATTCCATTCAGAAAGCGGCAATAATTAGAGATGAAACGTTTCACACCTCTTGGAGAACATCTTTGCCGAACACGATGAACCCTAAGCCGCGCTCCAGGAGAAGAATTTCAGAGCCGCTTAAGCTCAGATTATACGCCTTCAAGAATCATGCTGCAGTTCGTGTACACAGAGAAAATATATAAATGTTAAAAATACTAAGCCAAGACATTTTGCTTCTCTAAGTGCTCTGCATATTTTTAGGCATTTTTTATTGCTAAATTTATTTTTATTGAGATTTTTTTAATGAGATAAGAAGATTATAATAATTAATTTGAATTAAATAAAGTAATTTAAGATTGTCTTCAATGATTGTAAGTTTTTTTAAATATTTAAATAAAGTTAAATCATATGATCCAAATAATTATGTAATAATTGAAAATCATATATATGACATATAGGAAAACCTTTAAGTCACAAAAGATTCTAATATGCCCAAAAAAAATATCCAAAATATAATTCTTTACCCTTTATTTATGAAGATCAACGACTACAAAGAATGCTACCAAAAATATTAAAAATATAGCAATGGATATTATTCAGTAATTAATGCTCATGACGTATTTCATGATTTATATGTGCTTTGTGCAATTCTTCATCTATGGCCCAACTCTTAGTTTTAAGGTGTGTTCCTTTGGTCGTGTTGGTCGGCGAGTCTATGAAGGTGAGACCTCAATGAGGACCACGCTAGACAAGTCTTTGGCGACCAATCCTTTAGTAGCCTAGATGTCCTCTTGGGGTGCATCTTCTTATGAGTGGATTGAAGCATGCCATGGGCACCTTGCTCGCTAACATGTAGACAAGTTGCTTTGGCATGATGATTTATGCTAAGAAGGAAAATCCTTCGAAGTGTGGAGGGATCTGTATGAATCTCTAGAATTCGTGCTAAGGATGACCGCCTTGGGTTATTTGGCCGAGTTGAGCAAGTCTCTCTACTAATGAGTAATAGTGTGAGATGATGTGACTATTCTTAGTCAAGTTTTTATTATTAAGGTCTATCAAGTTCTAGTTATTCTAGCGAAACTTATTAAGCAATTGTGGAACACCTGAGAAGACATACGAGTATACAGGTAATTCCTTGATTCATTTGACCATTTAAAGAGTGAATTACACAAGGATAAGTGAATTAATGACGAATATTAATGATGGTTACCAAATAGCAAAAAATGAAAGTAAATACATAAGTCATAACCCTATTTTATTATAGCGTCATGCATCATGTAGGATTTTAATTATGATTGTAATGTGATGCAACTCACTCTCTTCTCCTATAAGTACTGATATGAGGGGTGAGACTCTTTCACATTTGAGCTATTAGATTAGAGTTGTTGTGAGAATAGAGTTGTTAAGTTAGCAATATTGAGTGCTAAGCTAACGAGGGGGTGGCAGTTTACTTATCCAGGGGAGAGAGTATTGAGAGGCACCCTAAACCTTTGGCAAGTAAAGTGAGGGTAGCTAAGATGGGTCCTTTGATAGCACAAGGATCAATTGAACTAGTAACTCCTCCATCAATGAAGAGAGCAAATATAGAGTTAGTTGTCACACAGACAACTATAGTGCCCTTGACATAGGTGATGACCTTATAGGGGGTTTGCAATTAGGGTAAAGGAAAAGTTAAGTTTGAGGAGAGTGGTGCTCCGTGGATGTTCTTCTGATGATGAGGATGGAAAGGTAATCTCCCACCAAGCACATAGTGGAGGTGACGGTCATTAAAGAATTGGCCTCTAATAAGAACTATTTATGATCCTTAGAAAAAAATATTATTTGACTAATCATCTCCATCCACTAGTGAACTCTATATATATATATATATATATATCATCCATGATATACAACTAGCAGTTCCTTTGGATTTTTTTGAAAAGTAATTTTCAATTGTTGATCCTTCATTTTTTACCACAGTCGTGCCTCTTATTGTAGTTAGTGCCCTTATAATGACATCATCAGTGAGAGATAAGCTAGTGGTAGTTACTACTAAAGAGTTGGAGGAATTGCCTGCAATTTAGGTGATTATGATCATTCATCATGCAGGAGCAGCAATGGGGGGTGGGATTTCACCATAGTGGCATCTCATACTCGAGACCCTGACATAGCTCCTTAATTTAATGGAAAATGGCCTCAACGTTTAAGGCATATTTGGTGCAGTAGGAGGTAGCTTCTAGGAGAGTACAGTGGGTAAGACAAAAATGGTGTTGTAGGAGGTATCAAGTCAGGGAAGTTGCCCCTTGAAGTGACATCCAATTATGTATGTAGGATTTTTAATGGTGGCGAGTAGCTACTATAATACATGTGGCTAGAAAATATGGTAAGATTCTTCTATATACTCTAAATATTCTAAATCTAAGATCAGAAAGCCTATAATAGAAATAAAAAAATTCTAAATTTAAAGAGGAAATTTTCTTCTAGAAGCACTGCATCATTATGCGTTGGAGCAATGCACCACTTCCCCCTCTATCTAGGATATAGAATGATGGGAGCGCAACAACAATGGGGCGTTGTCCTCTCTATATTGGAGTAGAGTTTGAGAGAACACTATGGCACTTAATGCTTTTTTAGTATTTCCTACCAAAAAATATATTTCTGACATTGCTTATAATTCACTACAAGTTCTAAAATGTTGTTTTAAAGTTTCCTTAAAAATAGTTTTTCAAATAGAAAATATTGAGCCTGTAAGTTTTACATGTATCATCTCCTAAAGTGTCATACAAGTGTAATAATATTCATCTTCAATATCATGTATGCATGTTAATTTTGTTAATCTCTACATGTGCATTTATGTATATGGTAAACATTTTGATGTCGAAGATGTTAAAGTGCACTATAATTTTTATTATACAGGCACTATAATCTCACTCCGTGCATGTGCATTCTCACCTGCAAGATCGCACTGATCACCTGCACTGCTCACCTATAAGCTCTCCCGCATGCTTGGCTCAATTAGATCCGAGTTAGCAGGTCATATCGGGGATGATAAGCAATTACAATACCATGCGTATATAATAGTTTTTCTATTTATGTCTCAATTATTTTGTTGCAAAAGTAGCTTCTTCAATCACTAATAATCACCCAAAAAGTTTAAATATAGTAAAAATATTTTTCTTTAAAATTTTTATCACTACCTAAACATCACTCCTATGAAAAACCACTCATTCAATTCACTTAGAGACATAATCTACTAATATCAAGATAATTTGACTTCTTAAAGAAGGGATAAAATAACCCATAAAATCGATTTCCCAAACATAAAAAATTTTCACCTTCATAATATAATTTAGGCCTATTTTATTTCTCTTTGATATATATTTCTTACTCTCTTACATTTATCACGAGTCATTAACATAATTTAAAACTAATGGCCAAAGAAATTCTAATTTTAAGATTTTATAAGCTGTTATAAAACCTCCAAAATGTCAACCATACACTGAGTTGTGACACTTTCTAATGATGCTTTATGTTTCTCAAAGAGTCTCCTAATGATTTGTTCTTTACAATTTCTAAATAAGTATCATCCTAAAAATAAAATTTGGCATCATATTCAAACTTCTTCTAACATGTTATAGGATAAAACACTATTTTTAATGTGGTTTACTATGTCAACCTTCTAAGGTGCACTTTGATTATTTAAAGAAAATAATTGTTCATTAAAGAAAAACACATTAATTTCATTCCCATTAAGCACCCTTTTTTAATTTCTAAATTATTGTAATTGTATATTCCACCTAATGAGCCAAGGTTTAGCACCCTCTTTAGTTATAAGATATTTGATAGCTGAATTATCCGTGCACGCAACAACTTTGGTATAAATCAAGTAAGATCGAAACTTCTTAAAAGGCAAATATTATTGTTAGCAATTTTTTCTCAGCGATGGCATAGTTTATTTGAACTTCATTTAAAATTTTGCTAGCATAGTGTGTCACATAAACTCATTTATCTATCATTTTCCCTAATATAGCTTTTATAACATAATCACTAGCATCATAGTTTAAATTAAAATGATGTTCTCAATTAGGTGCAATAATAGTAGTTACTGTGATACAATTCTATCTTGAAAACTCAAAAGCTTCTAGGAGTTCTTTAGTGAATTCAAAGGTGTATCCTTCTCTTAGAAAAAACAAAGTGGTTTGGTTATTTTAAAAAATTCTTTAATGAATCTCTTATATAAACTACATGTCCTAAGAAGCTCCTAAGTCCTCCCACTGATATGGGTGGTGGTTAATTTTTAATTAACTTGAATTTTAGCTTTATCTACCTCCATCCCTCTGTTAGATATTTTATTCCCTAGAGCAATATCTTCTATAATCATAAATTAGTATTTATCCCATTCAATACTATAATAACCTCTTCACACTTTTTCAAAGCGAATGCTAGGTGATCAAGGAAATGATTAAAAGTAGTATCAAATATAGAAAAATCATCCGTAAAAATTGCAATACATTCCTCAATTAAAATAAGAGAAAATAGCCATCATACACTATTAAAAAGTAGCTGGGTCATCACGAAAACCGAAAAAGCATCCTTCTAAAAGAAAAAAAAAATATCATAGAGACCAATGAATGTGATATTGTCTTGATACTCTAGTGCTATATAAATTTGATGATAACCTGAATACACATCTTTGAAGTAATAAAAAGGATGATTCTGCTAATCCATCTAACATCTAGTCAATAAAGAGCAAGGAAAAAAGGCTCATTCATAGTTATTTTGTTCAACTTCATATAGTTTATACAAATTTTCCATCCAGTCACCATCCTAGTAGGAATTAATTCATTTTTCTTCTTGGATGTTACTGTCACACCCCCTTTCTTATGCACAAAATATATAGGACTTACCCAATCATTGTTTAAAATAGGATATATAATCCTAACATCTAACTACTTAAAGATCTCCTTCTTTATTACCTCTTTCAACGCATGATTTAATCTTTTATGAGCAACAACTTTTGGTTGATGATTGTCTTCCATAAGAATTTTATGCATACATAATGAGAGACAAAATCATTTTCTATCTAATATAGTCCAACCAAAAGCTCTTTTAAAAGTCCTCAAAACTCTCATCAACTCTTCTTCTTATAACTCATCTAATTAAGATGATATTATTTTGGAAAAAGTTGATGAATCCTCCTCTAAGAATGCATTCTTAAAGTGAGAGAGAGAGTAGGGCTGTAGAATCATGATGGGCTATCTCTCGGTGACTTGGTGTTGACTTCAGATGGTTGGTGAATGGTATTGAGCTATGCATTACCTCAAGAGGGAGAACGAGCGAGGTGAAGTGGATGAAAAGATGAGCTTAGTGGTTGATCTTAGTAGGGCTAGTTGATGGTCCCTAGAGGTAGGTGCCTTTTTGTAGCTATGCTTGGTGAACTTGTATGGGAGTGGTTGCTTTAGTAAAGAGCGAGTGATTAAGATTGTGGATTATATTCATGGCGAGTGCCGAGCTACCAAGCTAAATGAGGAATCCCCAATCCGCATAGTAAAAGGGGGCGAACTCCTCAATGAGCTCAGGTGAGTAGCACATATTGATCATAGAGGGCGAGTTCTCCTATGGATTCTAGGAGAGTAGTGTCTCTTGGATCGTTAGGCTTGTCTTGAAGGCGAGTTCCATTATTTTGATCCGCCAATTACATGCAAGATACTTGTCAAGACATATGCAAGTATACAAAATCAATATTATATCTACTTGAAATTGAATCATTCACTCCTATATGCATAACATATCAAATCTAAAGAGTGAGATGTTGAATCAATCACTAAATTATCCTATAAACATTTATGCCAAATATTAATGTCTAATGTTAAAGTTAATTGCTAGTTAATAAAACTTATAAAATTTTGTGATCAATACAAGTTTTTTATTTAAATGAATTTATATTAAGAGAAGTTCTTGATTGATTAATTATATAAAAATTTTATCTTAAAATAAATTTAATGAACACCTTTTATTAGAGATGTAACATATCTAGTCCACCCATGATTCAGCTAAAAAGTTAAATTTGAGCAAACTCCTAATTCAAATTATTAGCTCGTGAGTTGATAAATTAAAATTTATTAATATAAAATACAATTATGAATTTAATATAAATTTATAAAAAAATTAAATTTACATGTATAATCATTATCTTAAATAATTTATTATCAATTTTTATAATTTTTTATTCTTTTCATCAATTTACTATAGTTAAAAATCAAAACCACCTTCTTATAAGTTATAAATGAGCCAATTCATAAAATAAATAAATAAGCACATAATAAAAAAAAATAAAATAAATAAATAAATAATGAAAAAACAATTTTTCTTTTGAGCGTCGAAGGCATCCACTCTAATCGTTTACACTCTCACCTCTCAGGCAGCCCACTGCGCAGGCACATTCAGGAAATGGAGAAGCCAAGCGAAGAGCTCCTATGCGCCGCCGCCATCGTGGGCGACTGCGCGAGACTCCGCGACCTCCTATTGGCTGGGGCCGACGCCTCCTTCTTCGACTCCGACGGCATGACTCCTCTAATGCACGCCGCTGCCGGTGGCCATGCGGACGCCGTCCGATGCCTTCTCGACGCTGGTGCTCCATGGAACGCGCTTTCCCCCTCCAACCTATCCGCTGGTGATCTCGCCATGGAGAACGCCCACCAGGAGGTTTTTGATATCCTCCTCAACTTCGCCATACAAGCTGAACTCGTCCTCGGCACCATCGCTCGCCGCGGCAGAGGAGAAGGAACAGCCTCGCACGAGGAGTATATGAGCGAGAGGGTTGCTTTTGGAGAGGATAGAATCATGGACGCGAAGAGCGAGGCGGTCATGATGGCGTGGGAGAAGCCTCTGATGGAGGCTCACGCGAGAGCGATCTGCTGCTCCGGCGATGATTGTGGGAGGATACTCAATGTAGGGTTTGGGATGGGGCTTGTGGACGAGGCTATCCAGCGGTACAAGCCTCTGGAGCACACCATCGTGGAGGCGCATCCTGATGTTTATGATCGGATGATACGGACTGGGTGGGGGGAGAAGGAGAATGTGAAGATAGTGTTTGGAAAATGGCAAGATGTGCTACCTCAGCTTGGATCTTTTGATGGTAACTGATCTCTTTTCTGTATGTGTTGTTGTAGAGGATTTATAGATTCTTGTTTTGTTCGAGTATATGTTTAATCCTATTATAAACTGGTAATCTGGCTTTAAGTTAACATTTAGAGCTTAATCCTTGCGACTCTAAGAGTTCAGTTATTTGTAGAAATGGTCGACACCGAGAGAAAGCATGTTAGCGGTCGCGAAGATTTACAGTGGAGAAAATATAATATTCTTAATTTCATACTATCATCCCATTATTACTACTGTTGAGGGGATTATGCATAACCTGCAGCTTTCGGTTTGCTTGAGACAAGGACGTTTAGATTGGATGACTTGGATGAAATGTTTTGATAGAGATGAATGGTGGAGATTAAAGTGGTGCAACTAGTGACTGCTATAGAGCAGCTTTTGGGTTTTGCTGATTATTTGTATTAGTGTTCCTATCACTTCCCTGCAAGTTGATGATCAAGATTTGGAGTGTCAAATTATCTAGAAGTAGTTGAAACCATTTGGTCCAGAGTGACTTAGTAAAGATACCGACAACTTGGTCTTGGGTAGAGATGTGATGAATAAGTATTTGGTATAGTTTGATGTATTCACGGATGAAGTGATATTCGATATTGATCTGATTGGTATGGGCGTGAAATATTGGGTTATTTGTAAGTGCTATGGCAGAGACATTATCGGAGTAAGTGCTGTGGATATAATGGTAGGATATTAAGGTCTTATTAGAGCCAAACAAAAGTTTATGGCATTTTCTGTGGGGGCACAATATTAAGCTTCGATATATGTTATAGGAAATACTTGAGTTCGCAAGCAATCCTAACCCAAATCGATATGCAAATAGCAGTGAAACGGATGTTTGTAGCAGGAAAAACAGCAAAAACCTGTTGTTTACAGCAGGAAATCAGCACAAACCAGGGAAAACCGCGAGAAGAATCGATGCAAGACTTGTATTCTACTAGAAGATGCAACAAAATAGAAAAGATACAATTGATCCTCAATTCGAGAGGAGGATCGATCTCTCCCAAATCTCTAGACGCTGCTAGAGCCCAAAGAAACCTAAATCTAAGAGATATCAAATTTCAGCCAAATTCAAGACGCCCAAACCCTAGGAAGACAAAGTGTTTAATGCATACAAATCAAAAGGAAATCCCTAAACAGTCCATACATTCAAATTTCCCTCTTAAAACCCTCAAAAAAGTTTCCTAAAAAGCTCCCGCACGGGGTGCGACTCGCTCAACATCCCAGCGGGCGGAGATTTCTCCGCCCTGCTCACGCTGGGCCAGTCCCGCACGGACCGGCTGGACCAGTCCAACAATACTCCCCTCCCAAAAATCCACCTTGTCCTCAAGGTGGAGATATGCTCGTGTTCCGGTGGAGGTGGCCATCCTTGAGGTGACTGAATAACTTTACTGTATTGTTGAACCAAGGGCTGCATGGAAAGAGAAACATCCCCTCCGTCTTCCAATCTGATCGCATCTAGCTTGTGTAGTCCCACAAGATAATCTTCTCCCACTTCTTGTACGTCCCTAACCATGGTCTTAAGTGTTGTGATGACTTTGGATAACTCTGCATCTCCCCTTTATGACCACTCTTCTCCCATCCACCATTAATTCCATTGTGAGTGCTCCCCAATTGTCATTGGTTTCCCCCAAGATTTGTAACAACTTCATTCCCAGGATGACATCAGTGCTTCCTAACTCTAGTGGGAGAAAGTCCTCCCTTACTTGAATCCCCTGGATGGTCAACACCACTCCTTTACAGATTCCCTGACCTTTCTCCACCTTCCCTGTACTCATCATCGCCCCATAACAACCGGTGTCCACCAATTTCACTCCCAGTTGGTTGATGACCTGAGTGGAAATGAAATTGTTGGTAGCCCCACTATCAATTAGCACAACCACCTAACGGTCAACTATCTCTCCTTTCACTTTTATAGTGTGACTCTGAGTGAATCCCACTACAGAGTTTAGAGAGATTTCTGCCACATCTAGGTACAACTTCTCCTCCTCCTCTTCAGATCTGCTCCCACCTCCCTCCTTGTCTTCCTCATCTTCGCAGACAAGGAGAACCTGAAGAGTTCGATCCTTGCACCTATGCCCCGGCATGTACTTCTCATTACATCTGAAGCATAACCCCTTTGTCCTCTTATCCTGCATCTCCTTCTCTGTCAGTCTCTTGAAATTTTCCCCACTCCCTCCTACTGGCTTCTCCCTACTGGTCTCATTAATGTTGCCTGATGCAGGCCGCTTGGGTGCTAGAAGAGTGGTCTTCGTCCCATAAGATCCCCCTGAATAGTTTCCTCGAGCCCCTATTTTTGATTTCTTTTAATCTTCCACCAACTGCGCTAGCTCCATAGCCTTCCCTAGCTTCCTCGGCTCCAGCACCCTGACTGCTGTTTGTATCTTCGGTTTAAGCCCGTTCATGAAGTTCCCTTCCAGGGCTGACTTTGAAATGTGATCCAATCTGCTAGTCAAGTACTCAAACATGTCGTGGTAATCTGCCACAGTCCCCTCCTGAGTTAAGGCAAAGAATTGCTCATGGAAGTCTCCTCCCACATCGGCTCGGAAGCGCTCCAATAAGCAATCTTTGAACTCTCTCCAGCTCCGGATGGGCTCCCTCCTGTCACGCCATTGGTACCATGCCAAGGCTTTTCTTTCCAAACACAATCCCGCCGCTGTCAGCTTCTCTTCCTCTGTCAACCCGTTGACAGCAAAGTAACGCTCCACCTTGTTGATCCAGCCATGGCCGTCTTCACCCTCAAAGACGGGCATCTTCAGCTTCCTCACTCGTGGGTCTCTTCTGTTTCCCGGGTATCCTCCATAACCTCCCATTCCTCGAAGGGGAAGAGTTCCCCAAGTGTCCTGATCATCCCTCCGACGATTATACTCGAATCCCTCTTCATACTCTCCTCTTCTCCCTTCAAAATTATCACCTCGACGCTGGATTCCTTCAAATTTAACACCTCGACGATGACGTTCCTCCCTTCTTCCTTCAAAAACAGCCCCTCAACGCTGAATTATTTCGTATTCAGCACCTCGGCGATGAAATTCTTTCATTTCCCCTTCAAAATCAGCACCTCGACGCTGGATTCTATCAAATTCAGCACCTCGACGATTGAATTCTTCCCTCCTTCCGACAAAATCAGCCTCCCGTTGGTCGTATCCCTTACTCATATCTTCTCTAGAAAGCGATTCTAGAGGGGGCATGTCATTCTCCTCCTTTAGGATCTCCACCTCCGAATTCCTCCTCCCCCGTAATGGGTTCGGATTTCCTCCCATGCCATGGCCGTCGGTGGTCTCTTGTACTTCCGATGTCGCCGGATTGATCTTCATTTCAAGTAATTTCTTCATCATTTCTTCCATCACGGTGAACTTCCCCTCCAACCTTTCATTGTTGGAGGTGATTTGATTTTGAAAATCGAAAAATCTTCCCTCCAACCTTTCAATTGTCCGATTTCGCCATCCAAGACTTATACCTTCTTACCGGCCATCGTTCTTTCCAAGAATCACAAAGATCTTTTTCCGGAAACGAAAATCCTGCTGAAATTTCAGGATTTCAGCCGCCAACTGTCCCAAAAACGATGCTCTGATACCAATTTGATAGTAAATACTTGAGTTCGCAAGTAACCCTAAGGTAATACTTGAGTTCGCAGGCAATCCTAACCCAAATCGATATGCAAATAGCAGTGAAACGGATGTTTGTAGCAGGAAAAATAGCAAAAACCTGCTGTTTACAGCAGGAAATCAGCACAAACCAGGGAAAACCGTGAGAAGAATCGATGCAAGACTTGTATTCCATTAGAAGATGCAACAAAATTGAAAAGATACAATTGATCCTCAATTCGAGAAGATGATTGATCTCTCCCAAATCTCTAGACGCCGCTAGAGCCCAAAGAAACCTAAATCTAAGAGATCTCAAATTTCAGCCAAATTCAAGATGCCCAAACCCTAGGAAGACAAAGTATTTAATGCATACAAATCAAAAGGAATCCCCTAAATAGTCCCTTTATTCAAATTTCCCTCTCAAAACCCTCAAAAAAGTTTCCTAAAAAGCTCCCGCACTGTGTGCGGCTCGCTCAACATCCCAACGGGCGGAGATTTCTCCGCACTGCTCACGCTGGACCGGCCTAACACAATGATCAAGCAATTGTAGTTTGCTTCTTCACATGCCAAGAGATGAGTTTCATACCTAAGAAAGCATTTTTTTTTGCATTTAAGGGCTTCTATATGTGCTGATAGAGATTAGAGAATATTTATAGCATATGATATATTTGGTCTTTTGATAGTTAAATATTGCAATGAACCCACTAGGTGTTAGTAGAGTGTTAGATTGATGTATGGGGATGTTGGGTGTTTACTGTTTAGTAGTTAGAGGTTTTTAAGTGGTGAGATTTTGTATAGCCTTTGATTAAGACATTACTACTTAGTGAATAATATTGAAAGCATTGGTTGATTGACAGAGGAGAAAGTTTCTATTAGTGTGCTTAGTGTGGATATTGAATAAAAGGGAAATTAGGCTAAGCATAGGGATATGGAAGCATTGTCACAGACTCACGGCTGTTAGAGAAGGTTGGATATGACAATTGGGTCAATTGTTTTTATGAGAATATCATCCACGTACATTAGGATATATAGTTTTATAGTGATAGATGTATATACTAGTAGGGATGGATCAACGACATTGAATCAGAAACCTAACTTGTGAAGTTTGTTTGAAAGTGTGTTGAACCACTATTGTGCTGCTTGCTCCTGACCATAGATTACCTTTTTTATGAGACATTCATACTGTTGCGTTGTGGGTCTTGGGATCCCGGTTGTTGTATTATATAAACAATAGTGGTGAAGTCATCATGTAGGAAGACATTGGAGATGTCAATCTGAGTGATTTTCCAATTGTTTTGTATGGCAATGGTTTGAAGTATGTGAATGGTGGGCAATTTTGTAATTGGGTTGAACGTTTCTATATATTCTGCATTATACTCTTGTATCTACCTCTTCAAAAATAAATATGACATTATCATAATTCTATTCATATTTCAGACCATGATCCATAATCAATTTGGGATAAAAATAAGAAAATTCCGCTCCGATAATGCTAAAGACTATTTCAGCCAAACATTATCTTCCTACTTCCAAAAAGAAGGTATTATCTATGAATCCTCCTGTGTTCATGCCCCACCATAAAATGGGGTTGTAGAAAGGAAAAATAGTCACCTTCTAGCCTCCACTCGTGCTTTCCTATTTCACTACAATACACCCAAGTCTTATTGGAGGGAAGTACTCCTAATCGCCACTTACCTCATAAACCTCCTACCTTCAACATCACTCGGACTAAAGACTCAAATGGAGATTTTGTCCACTTTTTACCTCAAGTTCCGCACTCATAATAACCTTACACTTAGAATCTTTGGATGCACTGCCTATGTTCATATTCACAGCCAAAATAGAGGAAAGTTAGATCCAAGAGCACTCAAATGTGTCTTTGTTGGATATTATGCCACCCAAAAAGACTACAAGTGTTATCATCCTCCCACAAAAAGAACCATTGTCTCTGTTGATGTTACCTTTGATGAACAAAATTCCTATTTTACCAAACCTCATCTTTTAGGGGAAGACTGAAATTAAGGAAGACGAGGAAAGTGAGCTTAAACTTCTTGACCTTCCTCATCTATCTCAAATCACTTCTTCTGAAGTCAAAAGCAGGGAGATGAACGATAAAGCTGTTAATAGATTTGCGAATGTATACTCAAGACGTACAAGTCCAAATTGCACTCTGAAGCAAACCAAGAATCTGAACCATCTCCTAAAATTAAGGTAAATTCACCATCTCCCATATAACCCATAACTAACTTTAGTTCCTTCAATAATTTCTCATCCTCACACAAAAACTTTTTGGTTATATTAGAAGAAATTCACCATCTCCCATAAGAACAATTAGATGTAAAAAATGCATTCATATATGGGGACTTGGAGGAAGAGATATTTATGAAAATACCACCATGATTCAAAAAAAGATCTGAAGGTAACAGAGTATGCAAGTTGAAAAAAGCACTGTATGGGTTAAAACAGTCACCTAGAGCTTGATTTGGAAGATTTTTCAAATTCATGCTTACTAATGGATATCAACAGAGTCAAGGGGACCATACACTATTCTTTAAACACTCAAACTCAGGGGGAGTCACAATATTGTTATTATACATGGATGATATTATCTTGACTGGAAATGATGAAAGAGAGAAAAATGGACTAAGGAAAGTCTTACGTAGGAACATGGAATCAAAGTAGAACAGCACGAGTAGCCGCCATGTTGAGAGAAAAGAGATATTTGTAGTATATTCAATTGGAAGATCTCCTATTTATAATAGGTAAAAGAATATAATGTCTCTGAGAAACACTAAATTAATAGAATCCTTTAGCCATATTATTAGTCAATAAGATAAAATGCTACCAATAGCAAACTTTTACAACTAGTTTTTTTCCCTAAAAAATTGATTTATTCAGGTTATATGATATCAGTCTTTGAATAATTGGATCAATAATATATTTTGTTTTTATTAAGAGTTACTTGATATCCTTGAAGTGAAATATATGGGGATTGACAAATTATTTGTTTTTTTCTATTGACTGCATTTTTTTATTTTCTTACTTTGCATCTTTTATTTCTCTTTGGGTGATATAATTTTAATTTTTCAATATGATGTTTCCCTGTTTCTACCCTTGCAAAATGATAGCTAAAAACACACTAGTTTTATATTGGTTCACCCAATTGATGAATAAATTTTGTTGTCACCATTGCTGATTTAACCATAATTTTATTGTAGATATCACAAACCTAATTCCTCATGTACGTAAGCCACCGTCTGCTTCTCTTTATAAGGGAAAAAAAAAAAAATCTGAAGTAGCCGAAGAATACAATAAAATTTCCACGATACCCTTAATAGAATAACCACAAATATTGGATAACTTTGGGGGACCTGTGATTAATTCTACGTAGCTTATTTTCTTTATAGGGTAAAACTTAGGTTTCAAAGCTTAACTGTGGCTACTCAGATTGCATGGAATTTGGGAATGAATCAAAATGCTAATATATCTTGTGAAATATTTGACCTTTTGGTCAACTTTTTCTTGCATTTGGGCATTTGGTTGTTGATGCACTTTTTTACTTCTGCCAGAGGTAAACTGTATAACTCTAGGTTTTCTCTCTAAGTTTTATGGATTTCAGATGAATGGAAGCGTGAAGTTCTGTGCTGATTGATTTATCTTATCATTTTGAAAACTTTATTGGTTAGTGACCTTTTTGGAAGGACAAAAACTCATGATCTTGGCATGTTGTGCTTTGAGCTTAAATATGCCTAGACCTCGCTATACTGTGTAATCTTTTTCATTATGACACCTTTGGCTTTGAGTTCCATGCATTGAATGTATTCAGCCAAGTTTGAACAATTTGTAATATATATTGTAGGAAATTTATGAATCAACAAAGTTTATCTTTCGAGTCATTCTTTAGGTTAGATGCGAATTAAAGGTTCCTAATATGTTCTTTTTATAAATGTTCCTCGAGAAATGATACAAATCTTGTGTTTTCTAGTTAACTCTAAGAGGTATGAGGAGACTTTTATATAACAAATTGTTCGATTTGATCCTGCATTTTCGTTGCCATATGGGCTATTGAGTGTTGTTCAAGACTGCAAACCTAAATACGCCATTTGAAAGAATTAGGATGCTATTTTCTGCCATCAAATGTTAAATTAAGTGAATTCTAATTCTAAGACTTTCTAAATTATATAGCTGAAGCTTTACTCTTCAATATTTTTGTTCATCTAGGAATATTCTTTGACACTTTCGGTGAATACTATGAAGACATGAGAGAATTTCACAAGCATCTGTACAGGCTGCTTAAACCAGGTGGAATCTATTCATACTTTAATGGCTTTTGTGGCAGCAATGCATTTTTCCATGTAGTTTATTGTCAATTAGTTGCTTTAGAACTTGGAGACCTCGGTTACAGTACGCAGTTCATTCCTCTGCCTGTCAAAGAATGCTTGTCAGAGAACATATGGAAAGGTGTGAAGCACAAATATTGGCAATTAGATACATACAATTTACCTGTTTGTCAGGCATCACATGATTCTGAATGAATACACAGTCCACTTTGATCTAGCGGTTGGATGTTTTGGTTGCAATCATAAAATATTGAATTTGAGGTTAGCGTAGACAAATATTTATGAGTTTATGATTAGATTTTGTGCCAATACTCAGTTTTAACATTAGATTTGCCTTTTTTTTACGGTAAAAGTTTGTGCATGCCTAAATATTTTCTTGTTCTTTTATTTATTTATTTATTTAGTTTTGTTTTATGTTTGGCGGATATTGTTATTTTGCAGCCCTATATGTTATGCTAAAATAATAGGAAACTGATAGGATACACTTGTAGCTCTAAAGTATTTCCTATCAATTTCCGAAAAACAGCGAGAATTCTCCGTAAAAATCCACACAAAACCAGTAGATAATACGTATTATTTGATAAAATAGAAACGGAAAATAGCAAGATACAGTTGATCCTCAATTCGAGAGGAGGATCGATCTCTCCCAAATTCTCTAGATTCCGCTAGATCTCAAAGGAAACCTAAACATAAGAGATCTCAAATTTCAGTCAAATTCAAGATGCCCAACCCCTATGAAAACAAATTATTTAATGCATACAATCAAAAAGGATTTCTCTAATCAGCCCCTACATTCAAATTTCCCTCCTAACTCTCTAAAAAATCCTTCCAAATTGGCTCCCGTGGATCTTGCGGCTTGTGCTGCTCATACAGAAGGTGGACTCTTCCGCCTCTTGTTATGTTGAGCCGGTCCTGTATGGATCGGCTGGACCGGTCCAATGGACCGGTCTAACAGAAACCATTTTTTCTTGACTGCTCATTTCATGTCATTGACATTGGTGATGCCATGCCAATTATATTACAGGATATTTTGTTTTTCCACAAGCTTTCTTGGCCTGCATTTGCTACATATCTACTTTTTATTATGAATGGTTGCTGTTTCATGTGTGCCTCTGATTTTTTAGCTTTGAACTGTTTATTGGCTCTCAAATCTCAAGTTTATAACCTTCTTCATTTAAACCAGCAGTGGATCCATTTCTGCTTGATATCAATTTAAGTCATCCCAGCTCAGGTAAAGCTAAAACTAGAGTACTTAATAATTGATTGTTGTTGTTGTTTCTACTTTCTGTTTTCAGCTTTGATCATTATGTGGCTCTAAAGTATCGAGTGTATGCTTTTACATATTATCCTTTAATAAGGTTTCGTTTGGGATAGCTTTCTTGCTGCTTTATAATGAAAAATTTTCTAGTACAAATTTTTTTTAGTTCTAGAAATTTTTGTGCTAAAAAACTGTTTTAGAAAACGGTAAAAAAATTATCTCAAACGAAGCCTAAGTTATAATCATCTTAAATTAGCTAATATTTTGAGATCCACTGCTGGTTTAAATGAAGCCGAAATGGATATGGTTTGAAATTAATATGATATGCCGATATGGTGGTGAGGGTGGCCAAACATTCAAAGAGGGGTTTTCTTATCTTTATAGCTATGTTGTGGCAATAAATCTCTTTAATTTGGTGCATGTTAATGTGGGCATATGAGAAAAAGAAGGGTATGAAGGTGAATAAGTTAAGTAAATATGGAGATTAATTTGAGGGGTGTATTTGAAGAGGGAGTTAGGGAATATATTTATAGAATTTGGGTGAAATTTTCTACACAATTAATAAATTATCATGATTTTATATTTGAAAGAGGTGGGTGTATTGTGTTGGTGGAGGTGAGTGGGATTCAGGTTATTATTATCTTTCGAAATTGATTTGCAGTGGGCAATGAATGTGAATGAAAATATTTGTTTTGTGCAAGAATGAGAGCAGATAATTGGGATAATTTGAGAAGGGATGAGTTAGAGATGAAGCTAAGAAAGATTCGAATTTGAACTTTTATTAAGACTGGAATTGCATACCTCAAATGTTATGGCCCATATATTTAGAGATCAGGATTAAACCCCTAGTAATGTGATCAAATTCTATAACACTTCACCTCTAAAGGCTTACATCTTTGAAGATACATTTTTGAGTGTAGATAACCATATTTGATCTTTGATCTCTTATGAATAAATAGTAGAGAGAGAATCCCCTTATATTCTAGGGCTATAATTTTCTTTTTCATTGTAAGGGAAGAGAAAAATAGAGGACCTTGGTGTGGCATGGGTTTAGGAACTTGAATTATGACTGAATTGGATTTGGAGGGTTTATAAATGGTGTTAGAGTTGGTGTAGTAGCCTTTGGAGAAACTAGGTCATATTAGGGTAATTCTTGGCTGAAAAATCTTTTGGGGTTTTTAGATGAAGTTTTGGGGTTGAAATAATGGCTAACTGATATAGGAGTGTAAGGGACGGATTGAAATATTTTATTTATAGGGTTTAATGAGATTTGATAACTTAACACTCAATAATGGGCAAGGCAATAGGAATCATCAAACTCCTTCAATGGTGAGGTCAGCCACCAAGCCCTCACTTCAAATTTATCAAAAATTAATTTTTAAAATTAATCTTTTAAATTCAAAGATATTAAGATGATTGATCTTAATTTAATCATGTATTCAATTAGTTACAAATGAAGCTAAGATCTTGTTGGTGTGTATCCACCTACTCATGTGATTATAATTCATGATTGTTGCTAACATTTGCTTAAAAGAAACCTGAGGTTAGCTAACAATAAAAATATAATAATTAGAGATAACACTCTTTGATGTATGTTTCACTAGCTCGACACTAAGTTGGCTACCTGACAATAATTATTTGTGACACCTTCACACTGCTTGGGTTAGCATTTGGAGAGATGAGTAACGTTCTAGGCTTTTGTACCATTCCTAGGTTAAAGGAGCTCTCAAAGCATAGAATAAACCTAACCTATGATTCTAGTGAGAGTGGTGATTGAGCATATGAAGTTCATCACATACTGGACATAGACAAGTGATTTGGAAACCTATTTGATCAACATGTAGCCCTTTACCGACACCCAACTTGTCATGACCTATTTTTGAGTTTGCATACAATATTAAGATCAATTCATTAATAAGAATACACGTTTTAGATATTTTGGGTTTATTGTTCAGAGTGATGGTGAAGTAGATGGGGATATTATTAGTAGAATTCAAATTGGATGGTTGAAGTGAAGGAACGCAAAGGCTTGTTGTGTGATAGCTCAAACTTAAGGAAAAATTCTATAAGATGGTGGTGAAACCTACTATGCTTTATGGTGCAGAATGTTGGCCATTAAAAGAGAAGCATAATATTAAGTTAAGTGATACAGAGATGAGGATGCTCAGGTGGATGGGTGGCTTTACTCTTGGAGACAAGATACGAAACGAGCATATACGTGAAAAGGTTGGAGTTGCTCTATTAGAAGATAAGATTAAAGTGAGTCGACTTAGATGGTTTGGTCACATAAAAGGGAGGCCTCCTGGTGACCCAATTAGGAGAGTAGATGTATTAGATTTGGCTTATGTTAAGAAAGGTAAAGGTAGGCCTAAAAAGACTTGGTTAGAAAATATTAGAAATGACCTTTCTTTATTAAATTTTAGAAAATACCATTCTATGAAGTCAAACAACTTCAATTTCAAAGGATGACTTGGATCGACATTAGAAAATCTTTTACTAGATAATGTATTCAGATAAAATAAAAAGAAAGTTGACTAACTTGAGACCAAATGAAAAGAGATCTAGGCTCAAGGTTAAGCTGAGAAGAAGCAAGTCCACTCCTTAAAGGAGTGCAAAAAATCTCTAGGAATATAGACAGTCAATACTTAGCATAGTCATCTATCTTTTTATTTGAAACATGGTTAGGGGAAAAAGAGAATATTTAATATTTTAAGAGGTTAAATTCTTTTACACATTATAAGAAAGTACTTGTGGGCTCCGAAAATTCGGCCCCGGCCTCCGCTCGCTTTTCTTATTCGGCGAGGGAGTTTTAACGAACTAAGTTCCGGGGTAAATTTTGGAAGGCAGATGGGTTTGTAGATAAGACACTACCCAGAGATTTCGCCCTCATTTTGTGAGGACTTTATGATCTGAGTTCTGGTTTCCTATAGGCGGAAGCCCCTATAGTTAATTACCCCTCCCGATCACGAGAGAGAACTTTCGATTAAGGCTAGTCGTCAATCAGATACGTAGAGAATACGTGTTATCTGGCATATAGTAGCAGCACGAGTATTGAGATTTGTGATATGGCTGAAAATTGAAGAGTTGGGTTTGGGAAGATTTGGAGATTTGGATTGGGATATTTGGGAGAATTTTATACTTAAAAATAGGAATTTCACCATCTAGCATTTAAAGCGGATGGTGGGGGAATGGATGATAGACCCGATCAAGATCCCATGTTTCCGTCATCCCGGGCCATCATGGTCCCTAGTCTACTTAGTCAGAGGAGGTAGTCGACCCAACCTGACAGAAGGATCCTTGTCGGCAGCCATGGGTTGCTTCGTCCAAGGAAACCTTGTAGACCGGGGTTGAATGTTTGTCTAAGGGGACAAATTTAAATCCACCTTAGCTTACAGAGGGCTTTGTGCCCTATCGATCATATCCTATTGATTCATATCTCAAGGATTTAACGCCATTAAGGAGCGTATTGGCTCTGGCCATAACCGCTATCTGTGGTGCCATTTGGCGGCAAAACCACTCGGTTCAGAGGGCCCCGGGTCATAACCGTTTACCTGCAGTGCCATTTGGCGGCGAAACTGCCGGTTAGAGGACACGTACCACGCCCTTACTGGCAATAGATTGTTTGAGAATGGATCCTAGTAATATTTTCGACTAGGCATTCGGCTCTTTGTGAGCTAGAGTTTATTTGAATTTGTCCACCCCGGCAGACTGTTGCGGAGTTAATCAAAAAATACATAAATTATCTCTCCCTTTCCTCCCTCTACTGTTCAGCAGTCCTACGGGATTTGGCCGAGCATGCATAAGGGAGAAAATTACCTTCCCAGCTAGCGGGCTCCTGTTGATGCTTCCGATCAAAATGTCGTGACTGCCGAACCGAGAGGCAGGGGTCTTCGAAGGAGCAAAGCGAGGAAGGGGCTAGGGCAGTCGGTTAGGGCTTGAGGCGTCGGCAGTGGAGAAGGTGACGGAATGGGGTGTCGGGTTGCACAGGTAAGGAGAATGATCTCTCCCTCTTTCTCTCTCTCTCTCGGCTCCTCTGGATCGGACGAACCCGCAGGAGTTGCGGGTTGTTGGAGTCGGACGGGATG